CCTGAAGCCCTAAACCCTAAAAAGCAAGGCCCGAGCCGGCCGAGAGCTGTCGCTGGGCTCCGTGGTGGTCAGCTGGGACCTCGGCTTCTCGAGAACCCCTGGGCTTCTAAACTCGGTTTAAGGTTTAGGGTTTAGGGTTTGGGTTTAGGGTTTAGGGTTTAGGGCTTCTAAGCTCGGGCTTAGAGGCTCCACGGGTGTGGAACTTTGTTGTTTGGGGCTTCGGGCTTAGGCTTTAGGGTGTAGGGTTTAGGGTTTAGGGCTTAGGGCTGAGGTTTTGTGGATTACACCGTATCATAATATTCACAAGATAGATGGCTAGATAGATAGATATATAGATAGATAGATAGATAGATAGATAGATAGATAGATGTCATCATCATAGGCATAGGCCATAGTATAGTTATATATATATATATTTACAGAAATGCATGTGTATATATGTAGATCTGTCCATATGTACGTGTATATATATATATATACATATATATATATATGTGTATATGTATATATGTATACATATATATATATACATATACATACATATATATATATATGCATGCATGCGTGCATGCAGGGAGGCAGGGAGGTAGGTAGGTAGGTAGGTAGGTAGGTAGGTAGGTAGGTAGGTAGGAATGTATATATGAAAGAATGTATACATGTAGGTGTATACACAGACATGTATGTATAAGTGTGTGCGCATGTCTGTCTCCGCACATACTTGTGTTTGTTGATTTTAGTGTTTCGGTTGTTCAGGGGGGTTTGGTTAGTTCTCTTTTCGTTTGTGATGGGGCTTCTTGTGGTGTTCAGGGGTGTAGGTGCTCGCCTTTTACCGTTTCGTTTGCTCCTTCCTTTGCCAAGGGCTTTAGGTTTGCCTGCCTGTGTTAGCAGTTAGAAGGGGGGTCTGGAGTTTAGCTTTCAAGGTCGGGACAATGACATGTATGATGATTTTGGCGGGTCTTCACCCAAAGGAGCCGGAAGAGGTCTAGAAAGTTGAAGGCTTTGAGGGGCCTGCATTGGGCTTTAACCTAAGATTGTCGAGGGCCGTTTTAGGAAGGAGTTTTAGGCTTGAGAGCATGGGCACCCAAACAGTTGAGGTGGGGAGTGTACATTTGTTGGTAGATGTTTCGGGGAGCTAGGACTAGGCTTTTTTTTTGGCGGGGGGGTTAGTAGTGTGAGGAGTCGTCGTTCGCCATCTATGACCTGGTTTCTGTTTGGGTAGGCGTTGGTGGGCAAAGTCGCGGGCTGCGGGACGACCCGATATCCTCCAAGCAAGAAGTACTGCTTGATGATCTCAATCCTGCATTACCTGAAGGGACCCTTAACTATGGGAGGTCTGGCATATCCTTGATTATGGGTATAATGCAAGATTGATATCATCCACCGTAGTTCTAATTAAACTCATCGGATCATCCCCACCCCTAAACCCTAAACCCCTAAACCCTAAATGCTAGACGTAGAACCCCCAAAGCCCCTGCGCATAGCCCCGAAGCCGTCGGCCAGAGCATTGTAGAACCACGGTTTAGGGTATAGGGTTTTAGGGTTTAGGGTTTTTGCAGACCCGAACATAACCCCTGCAGCAACTTGGGGTTTAGGGTTTATAGGGCTTAGCAGTACCCCTCCACCCTCTTTAGCCCAACTCGTCAGCCACAGCGAACAAACCCGCAACCCTCAACCCCTAAACCCTCAACCCTGAAGCCCTAAATCCTAAGAACGCTAAACCCTAAACCCTAAAGCCCTAAAGCCCTAAAACCCCTAAGCCCTCAACCCTGAAGCCCTAAATCCTAAGAACCCTAAACCCTAAACCCTAAAGCCCTAAAGCCCTAAAACCCCTAAGCCCTAAACCCTAAAGCCCTAACTCCTAAGAACCCTAAACCCTAAACCCTAAACCCTAAAGCCCTAAATCCCCTAA